GTGCTAGATCACCATTGTTTTTTGTGGCTGAGTAGAACTCCATGGTATACATATACCACATTTTATTAATCCATTCAAGTAATTCCTCTTGATGTAGCTAGACAGTTACAATACTTCATAACCTGCTTGTGACTGTGCTCGAAAACTTTTTCCCAGTCATTAAATGATAAATTCTTATTGTCTTTTATAATTTACCTTTGTCTTTAGCTAATTGTCTTGTCAAAGACCTAATTGCAGAAATTCTACATTTTTGTACAAATGACCAGCTATTCCCCAAAGATCATATTCTAAGTATATGTGGCTCTGAAGAATTTTTGCAAAAGTAAGTATCTTATTAAGGTGAATTTTTATTTTTCTTAAATAACATGTAAGTGTTAAGTAGTACTGTTGTATTGTTTTCTTTTAAACAGACTTTACACAGACATTGTACTCTTAGAATAATTAAATTGCTTTTACCTCCTTTATAGTGAATTTGAAATGTTATGAATCATATTAATTGGCTTATTCTTGGTTTTATTTTATCAGTACTTATGGCAAGACATATTTAAGTGTCTTGTGATTAGATGGGTGACCAACCATCTCAGTTTGCCCAGGAATGAGAGGATTCTCAGGACTTGGGAATTTCAGTTTGAAACCAGTAAAGTCCCAGGCAAACTGGGACAGATTGGTCACCCTGCCTGTAATAAAACTGATTGCTACTTATCCCAGTTAAGAAAATAAATTATTTGGTAATAAGTAATTTATGATTTGGAATAATATTAGTGTGTTGATTAAATACTATTTTTTAAAAATTACACAGGGTTTAAGTACAAGCATTATAACATTTTTATTATAGAAGAGTAAGTTTAAAAACATATTCATTTCTTTATTGAGGCAGCTCATTAAAACAATTGGAACAGTCCATTCTCATGTATATTGGCTTCAGATATTTATTTGATAGAAAATTCATCTTTTAGTTTACCGCAATAGCCATTTACTTGAAATTCTGTAGAGACCATCTTGAAAATATAATACATCTATAAGAAAAGAAATATTTCTTTTCTGGTAATGCATAGTTGTTCCGAACAGTAAAACACTAAAGACTAAAACATTCGATAGACTGGATTACCACTTGCATTTGTCCTTTGCCTTTCCACAAGTGTCTGAAGACTGACAACAATCTTGTGGAAATAAAAGTGTACTTCTTTTGATTTTTCCCGTTGTCACTGTCATTATTATTCATCATAAATGTGCTTGAAAATATCTTGTGGATAATTTGGTGAATTTGACGATATTCTTATCAGAAAATTCAGTCGTTCATTGTGCAATGTTAACTCTGAATGATTTTTAAGACTATTTTCCTTTTTGTATTACCACTTGTAATAAAATAATAAATATTTATTTTAAATCACAGAAGTTTTTTTGCACTAAGCTTAGATATTCCCTTTTTTCCTTTTCTATTTGAACTTATTAACACACTCGATGACTAGGCTGCTACTTTCTCCTAACATACAGCTTTGACAGTATATTCAATGAACACAAGAAATATTTTAGTAAATTTAATTTATATGACTACGCATTAAAACTTACCTTTTGAATGTATAATTTTCGAAATGTACATCTGTACTTTAGTTGATGCCAAAACATAAGATCCAAAGAGCAAGAAACATTTTTAAATATTTGCATTAAGTTTCGGCAGTAAGAAATATCATCCAGACAGCAATTATGTTAAAGAGATAGAAACTAGGAAAAG